CAGGAATGATTTGGGGCAAGTGCTTCGACAATCTCTGCTCCAGTTCAGCACGTGTTTTAGCGCAGCTGCGGCGCTGATGCACTTTCTGGCACCAAAAAAAAATAAACGGTCATCGAAACTGATTGAGTCAAATCATAAATTTTTATGGAAAATTTTTAAAACCAGGGTTGCTCAAGCAATAGTGTATCAAACAGAAAATCGAGAAGTTCAGAGTTCAGTCTCTAGATGGATGGCAAGATAATTTTTATTTCTTCCTTCTGAGGTTTATAAGTCAGTACCTCTTTGTGGAAAGAAAACAGGTAACAATGCACTATGCCTGCAACATAGTTTTTGCGCTCTGCTTTTAAAATGAATCAATCATTATTGATGACGTAGAAATGATCATCAGTGCCTTCCCACTGACCTCATGAAAGGAAGGATATCAGAAATAGCCCCGTCCTGAGAGTGTAAGGAGTACCGGCATTCCAATAGTTATAAAATTTCATCATTTTTGCTTTGTCTAAAATGTGGCCATTAATCGATTTAATCCAGAACTGACTCCTGAAGGGCCATTTCTCACGCAGCCTGCTCAAACCGTTTTGCGTTCATTCAAGTCAAGTTTACGGCTGTAGTAGATAATAAGCACCTACTTTCCAACATGGTAAGGAATGGAGATTAGAGTGATGCTTAGTGAAGAAGCATGCAATGCATCACTTTCTGGAAAATAAAGAAATTGCATCATAAACGAATCAATACAAGTTGGTCGCCAATTCATCCAAGTTGAATCTGTATTTTGCACGATATTAATCAATCATAAGTAAATATAACTGATCATGTTGAACACAATTTCGAAACGCGTTTAGTATTCCAATTATGAAACAAGTTATTACTTTTATGCTGCTGCAAAATTAAACTGACGCTTACTTTGCAGACATGAAGAAACATTGAACGTAGGTTTACTTTACCGATCAGTCCATTTGCCAACAGAGACATAATGTCTTTTCAGGCCCTGGAATTGGTAGATTTCGTACATGCCCATGCGATCGCCTTTTTCGTCCAGTCGGATCTGAACGCCCTGCGGTCCTAAACAGTAAAACGAGGCCAAGGTGTCGAACAGCGTTCGTTACGCGTAGCAAGGCATACCTACAAAATTAACGCGTCGAATGTACTGCAGAAGTTCACTTCCGTTGAACTTCACTGACAGGTCACATGCGTGGAACGATCTGTCCCCGCAGTGGCTCGCAATCATGGCTTTCAACGCGTGGGCCAACGTGTACACCGCATCGATAACGTAAGGCACGTATCCTTCTTGTTTATGACCGCGAGCCAGCGACAGTTCTGCAAAAGGGAGGCTGCAGTCGAAAGAGAAAATTTCTCCTGAGTAACGAGCAGTTTGATGGTATGTATTAGTTTTCGATACCATGCCATAACTGAAGTCTTCAAAATCATAAAAGCTCCTTCAATGTCCTTAACCTACCACAATCTTATGTCTCATGTCAAATCGAACAAGGTGTCTACAGTTCAGCAAAATCACACAGCCTAATTAATTTATGTTAATCTTTTAGACAGGGAAAAGGTTTTCAGGAAGGACAGGTTTACACCCATGCTGTTTTAATACATAGTACGATGAAACTCCAGGTTTGGTTTATTTGCTCGAAAAAGCAAGTATCATTTCATTTTCTTTTTATTCTTTTTTAGATAATTACTATCAAATATTGGAAATATAGTTGCTTGCTCAAAATATTTTCGGTAGCTTGCTTAATCATTGGCCAATAAAATTTGCTATCCTTAAAACCTGCTTTCACGTTCCTTTGGTCAGGTCGGTATGTTGTCGTTGGCGTAGATGTTGTCGTTCAGGAACTGCGGATGAACAGCATACAAATGGGTTGACGTCGCAGCATAATAATGGTCTTATGAAAGGGTCATTAAAAGGATTGTAACGAATCACTCCTCCAAGACTAAATTTCACGACGTATTGCACCGCACCTCCCTGCTCCTAGTTGCATAGAGGCCATTTATGCAGCCTATGGGATCCTTGGTTGTGGAACACCTTCACTAGTACATGCATATCGCATCATTTTGTTCTCTAGAACTATCTTCTTATCACCTCGAACGATCTTTCAAGAGCCAGTATTCCTCATATGCTAGCGCATAAGCACTATAAGTAGTTCGTACGCTGGTTAAACAGCGACGAATGACTCCTCCGGGACCAGATTCACGGCGTACTGTACTGCACCGCCCCTTTGTTCCTCGCGCAAATAATAGTGCGAGATGAATCTGACACCGCAGATGCTCAAGTATAATGGAGCCGTGGCCAGGTTAAATGTTCCCCACAAATATCTTCTTCATCTTCCTTGATCGCTTCTTCTTTCGAGTTGCGGAGCCAGACACGTCAGACAGTGCTTCCAACGGCCTCGATCCTGTGCCAGAGTCTGAGTTTCGGCAGAAGAGAAGTGGAGTCTGGAACAGACTCCTTCCATATATGTGCACCAGGTTAATCTTGGCCATCCCCTGGGCCTTCTGCCGGTCGGTTTCGCAAGAAACAGCTACTTAGTCTTCCTTTCTGAAGGCCTTCGCAACACATGCCTGAGCCATCGCAGCTGTCAATTCTCAATCTGGAGAAGCAGAGGCTGTACACAAAGGTTCACACAAACAATTGAGAAAAATGTGGCAGTGTAATGCGTCATGAAAGCTGGCCTTGAAGGAGTAATTCATTAACTGACATACTCGAGCGTACGAACAGCTTATGATTGTTAAAATCGGTTATCGCATATTTACCTCATGTTGGTATCTACCGTAATGTCAAAACATGGGAGAATTAAGCTGGTT